CTAATAAAACGATTTTGATATAGCAGTGATGACTTCGCAACACATAAAACTGTGTAACTCAGTCATTTGAATTACACACAAACAGACACGGAATGAGGACCGCTAATCAAGTGAAAAATCTTCGTTGTTTATTGTTCTAAGCCAAAATGAGCTTGGTAGAAAGCAACGTGAGAGAAAGCGTCTTTCTCAAAATAGCCTAATTGCTAACAAGACTGCCACTGCTCTTTTTTCCAATACCTTATTGAAAAGATAGAATAAGGGCTTGTTAGCAAAGCAGTTAATAGATCAGTCGACAGGTTTTTAGAAAAAAGGAAGGATAATAAAAATTAAGTGAGAAAGGAGGGCAAAAAACTATTCGGAATGTAATTTGCTACATTTTGTTATGAAAGACTGAGACGAGTCTTGGTTTGGCATCCTATAATTACAGATCAGAGAAGTAAAAAAAATCTACCTTCCGACCAAAACAGCAATCCATTCGGAGTCAGTGGCAACATTTCTACAAGTGACCATTGAGCAGGTCCCTTACCTTTCGTCGTCTGGGAAATCTTGGACGAAAAGCACCGTGCTTAGTATCACATCACATATACAGGATATGTGACGTGATTCTTGGGAGAGCCTGTGTAGGGCTCGAGAAATCTCGAAGTGGACTTGAAGAATTCGAAAGCACCAGTTTGAAAAGTATTGCTCGTTCTCCAAAATTTGGCAGATTGCTAAAAGCTGAGCGAATATAGTGCTGCTGGATTGAAAAATAAAAATTCGAAAAGTTATAATTTTGGTGGTCTACAACATCAAACATTTCATGCACGCAGGATAAGAAAGACTGTGGTACCAATAAAGCGCAACCTAGATACGTTGGTGCATTGAACACGTCACTTTGCTTGTGTCACTTAGGTAAATTTCAAGTGCAGTTCAGCAACGCGGACGGAAAACTTCTTTGAACTAATGTGTCGACCCTTTTTGAGAAAAGTCCGAAAACTGTGGATGTGCGACTTGTTTACCAGATTGGCCACGACTTTAATATTCAACTATCCGCTTAATGGGTAAACCTGCGAAGTTCACTGCTTGTGAAAATTTCTAGTCGACTAATAATACACTACCTCATGTGATAAGAGAATCGCGACGAAAATAATTTGTGGGATTTTGATAGCGCTGCTTGTCGAAAACCTCTCTGGAATTTTCTTTTGGTAATCCTAATTTTCCTACCTATATCCTAAAATAAGTAAGAAGCTCACGAATGCTTTTCAAAATTTTTTACCTCCTCCAGCGTGCACCAATTTTCCGCCCAAACATAACCTCCCAGCTAAGATCATCAAAATTAACTTTTTGTTTCGTTTTCCTTAACAATCAAAAGTAACTCGGCAATCAAGCAAGCTCCAGCGCTAAAATTTTGTCGGTGGGTTGTCTGGCCAATTGCTACCTCAGAACTGCAGTACCAATCTTCGCACACGTCTGGCTCCCCAGCACCAAGAAGTGAAAGTTTTGCCGAGATGGCTAGAAAGTCACTAACTCAGAAACCAGGACAGCTGGGAAATTAAAGTTTTAAGGGAATGTTTTCAGTCCGAGTACAACTTAATGATTTCAAATTCAACCCTAGCTATGCGCGGTTCTCAAATATACGGATCCGCGAAAATTTTTGACGAGAAAATTGCTAACCTGAAAACAAGAAAAGCTGGCGAGGTGAAATTTTAACGGAATGTCCCTTATCCAAATACCACGTAGTTGCACAACTACTTGAACTTCGAGGACCAGTGTGTCACAAGTTCTAGCTACTGGGATTCCAAACTATCTTACTACAGCACGAAATATTGCAAAAAAGCATGATCGCACGGGCCCGTCTGGTGTACGTCGCCAATGATTTACGATTGTACCCATTTATTACTACTTTAGAGTGTATCAAAGTCATGAATATTGCTATATACCGAATATTGCTCGTTTTGCTTTCAATCGGTGACCATTGTGTATTCATAAGTGATAGCCTCAGGAAAGTAAATGATGACCCGGACTGATTCCGTAGAGGTTGAGCATAAAATCGAATAGGTGATGAATACATATATATTAGGAACGAAA